ATCTTCCCGGACCGGGGCACGAACCCGTGTCCGGGAAGATGCCACATGCCGCGGAGCGGCTGGGCCCGTGAGCCATGGCCGCTGAGCCTGCGTGTCCGGAGCCTGTGCTCCGCAACGGGAGAGGCCACAGCAGTGAGAGGCCCGCGTACTGCAAAAAAAACAAAAACAAAAAAAACCCTAGGCCCCCGGACAACTTCCCAAAGAGGCTGCAATGGCGGCCAGGGAGGAGGTGCTCACTTTGGAGGCTGAAGTTGCCCAGCGTGAGGAGGAGCTGAGTTCCCTGAAGCAGAGGCTGGCGGCGGCTCTTCTGGCCGAGCAGGAGTCAGAGCGGTTGGTTCCGGTGTCTCCCCTGCCGCCGAAGGCCGCCCTGTCCCGAGATGAGATTCTGCGCTACAGCCGGCAGCTCGTGCTGCCTGAGCTGGGCGTACAGGGATAGCTGTGCCTGGCGACCGCGTCCGTGCTGGTCGTGGGCTGCGGGGGGCTCGGCTGCGCACTGGCGCAGTACCTGGCAGCGGCCGGCGTCGGCCGCCTGGGCCGTGTGGACTACGATGTAGTAGAAGTGAGCAACCTGGCCCGCCAGGTGCTGCACGGCGAGGAGCTGGCCGACCAGGCCAAGTCTTTTCGGCCGCCGCTACACTGCGCCATCTCAGTTCGGCGGTGGAGTGCGTGCCCTACGCCCAGGCGCTTACGTCAGCCATGGCGCTAGACCTGGTCGGCCGCTATGACGTGGTGGCTGATTGCTCCGACAACGTGCCCACTCGCTACTTGGTTAACGACGCCTGTGTGCTAACCGGCCGGCCCCTCGTGTCGGCCAGCGCCCTGCGCTTCGAGGGCCAACTCACAGTCTACCACTACGGCGGTGGGCCTTGCTATCGCTGCGTGTTTCCGCAACCACCTCCGGCGGAGACGGTGACCAGCTGCGCGGATGGCGGGGTGCTTGGTGTGGTTACCGGGGTCCTGGGCTGCCTGCAGGCGCTGGAAGTGTTGAAGATCGCTGCAGGTCTGGGCCCCTCTTACAGTGGCAGCCTGTTACTCTTTGATGCCCTCGGAGGTCATTTCCGCTGTATTCGGCTGCGAAGGCGCAGGCCCGACTGTGCAGCTTGCGGGGAGCGGCCCACTGTGACTGATCTGCAGGACTACGAAAGCTTCTGTGGCTCCTCAGCCACCGATAAGTGCCGCTGCCTACAGTTGCTGAGCCCGGAGGAGCGAATTTCTGTCGTCTACTATAAGCGACTTCTGGATTCCGGGTCACCCCACGTGTTGCTGGAC